GACAATCCCTAGGTTTCAAATCAGTTTTCCATCTTCCATAGTACCTATGAGACTAGAAATTTTTCAGTGATTTGGGGAATAATTGTGATTTCATTCAGGGTTCAATAAGAAGCAGTTATTTTAAATTCAAGCACAAATAATCTAACAGCTTAAGTCATTAACATTTGAATAAACTCAATAAAATTTACATACCCAAAGTGTACTTTTATCACTTCAATGAAAAATAATAAATATATCTTACTTAGATATATTTCTAGATTTTTCTTTTTGGCAGAGCAGGGGATGTTGAAATTTGAACCCAGGCCTTTTCACATGCTAAGAAGGTGCTCTAACACTAAGCTACAGCTCTGATCTGAAACTCAATTGATATTTATACTCACAGAGTACACTATAGTATGTGCTTTTTTTTCTGTAGTTATCTACAGTAAAGTTCTTTAAGGAAAATTTGTTTCAAAGAAAAACACTGTGGATTATTTAATAAGAAGAAGTAACTCCATCTCAATCTTTATCCAAAAAGCAAATGGAAAGAATATTTGGGGGGGAACAAGGAAAACTCAGTTCTAGTTCCAAGTGTCTGCTATGCCACTCACTTCAGGCAAATTACTTAACTTCTGCCATCCTCTATTTTTTCATCTTAAAAAAGAGGGTTCCCTGTAGCGCAAAAATATCTAGGTTGCTATAATTTCTTTCTTTCTCCCTCTTTTTCATAACGTTTTATTTTATTTATTTTTTAACTTATTTATTTTGAGTATTGGGGATTAAACTCAAGGGCCCTCAGTTGCCCAGGCTGGCCTAGAATTCACAATGACTCAGACACCCCAATATCTGGGACTGCCAGCATCCACTACTGTTCCCAGTTTCATGTTGATACTTTTTCTTTCTCTTTCTCTCTCTCTCTCTCTCTCTCTCTCTCTCTCTCTTTTGGTACCGGGAATTCAATCCAGGGACACGTTAGCTACATCTCCAGCACTTTTTTACTTTTTTATTTTGAGACAGGGTCTCACTAAGTTGCTGAGGCTGGCCTCAAACTTGCAATCCTCCTGTTTCCTGCCTCCTCCTGAGTTGCTGTGAATACAGGCATGTGCCACCACATCAGCTTCATGTTGTTATACTTTCTAAAGAGTTCTTTACAATGTTACATTCCTGTCTTGATTATTATTATCCACATGAAGTTGAATATGATATTTTAAAAATATGTGGCATATAAACTTAATTTGGATAAGACATTAAAAAGGGATGTAGCATATAAACCTAATTTGGATACTTTGGTTAGAAAAATGATAGAATAAAATTTAAATACAAAATCAGAAATAAAATGTACAGGCTGAAGCTCATTTCTTGGAAATGCATCATTAAGAAGCAGCCTTTAATCATTGAGTAAAGCTGAATGGGCATCTGGATAAGGAGGCATGAGAAGAAGAATGTTGAAGGCAAACTTTTGGGTATTGAACCAGGGCCTCATGCATGCTGGGTAAGTGCTCTTGTGACCTAGCCACCTCCCCAACCCTTCTAAATATATTAAAAATGAAAGAATTAGCCACACATGGTACTCAGAAGGCCGAGGCAGAAGGTTTGCAAGTTCAAAGTCAGCCTCAGCAATTTAGCAAGGCCCTAAGCAACTCAATGAGACCCTGTCTCTAAATAAACACAAAAAGGCTGGGGTTGTGGCTCGGTGGTTAAATGCCCCTGAGTTCAATCCCTGGCACGAAAAAAAAGAAAGAAGGAAAAGAAAAAGTTAAAATAAAAGAAATTCTATGACTTCTAAATGCCTTGGATTAAATTATGGACCTTAGTAGAGTATCACAAAGAAAAGCAATGTTTATAAATTGTGATAGATAATTTCTGAGTTTGTGTGGGCATGTGCGTGCACATGCATATGTGTATGCTTATAAAGTGTAAAATATACACACACTGTTTTTTGTGGGGKTTTTTTCCCCACTAAGCATTGAACCCAAGAGAGCTCTATCACTGAGCTACATTCCTAGCCCTTTATATTTTTTATTTTGAAACAAGGTCTTACTAAATTGCCAAGTAGCTTCAAACTCTTGAACCTACTGCCTCAGACTCCTGGATTGGTGGGATTACAGACATGTACCACTGTGCCAGGAAGGTCTGATTATCTCAAGTGAATCATTTATACAGTTTATTACATATCCATCTATAGAAWTGTTGTCTAATAATACAGCATGTTCCCAGACCTAAACTCATTGTTCACATCTTGTTCTAATTCTCTTCTACAATTAATTTCTTTCTTTATTTACTTATTTATTTTTGCAATGCTGGGTACCAAACCCAGAACTAGGCAAGCACTCTTCTACTCTACCACTCTACTACATCCCCAGCCCTACAATGAACTCTTAAAATATAATTTCAAAATAATTTTTTATTTAATCAGATAGGTTGCAAAGAATAAATTAAATGCTAAAAGTCTTTTAAAAATGGAATCCTAAAAACTCATGATCCCAGCTGGGCATGATGGCACATATCTATAATCTCAGCTACTTGGGCAGTCTGAGTTAGGAGGATCGCCAGTTCTAGGCCAACCTGGACAATTTCTTGAGACCTTGTTTCAAAATTAAAAAAAAAWTTTTAAGGGCTGGAGATGTAGTTCAGTGGTGGACCACTTGCCTAGCATATGTGAAGCCCTGGGTTCAAATTCCAGTATGAAAAAACAATCATGATCTTTTAATAATCCCAATGACTTTTTTATGAGAGTAGATGTGGATGTTAAAACATTTCTACAAGCTGGACACAGTATCACATATACCTGTCAGCTACTCAGGAGGCTGAGACAGGAGGATCACAAGTTCTAAGCCAGCTTGACAATTTAGTGAGCCCTCATCTCAAAACAAAATTTAAAGGATTAGGGCATAGGTCAGTGGTACAGCAGCTGCCTAGCATGTATGAGGCTCTGGGTTCAATCTCCAGTATGGCAAAAATAGAGAAAGCAAACAAAACCCATTTTCTATCAATTTTTTACCTTCTACATACAATTCCAGTTGACAGAATGCTGTTCCACGTCGTACATGTGCCTTCATTCTTGCATTAGCATTGTCTGCAACATGTGGTGTCAGTAATTCCAGAGCCTTACAAAACACATACATAATTAACAAGATAAAGACATAACTTCCTAATTTAAACTTGAGCAAAAACATGGTAAAAATATGAACTTCAAAACATGCCTTAAGCCCTCACCCACTTAAATTTTTGGCTTAGCAGATACAGTAATTTATAAAATACACACATTTATGTTAAACAATTTAAGGAATTCTTCAATTGTTTCTGTATGGGATTTACTCCCTCACGGAATGATTTGTTTTCTTTGATGCATGCACCTTTACTAGCAGGAATGATTAAGTAGCATTTGGGATCTTTTGTATTTGGATTGGGTGACCCAGTTTATTCTTTCATTCAATAAATATTTGTGCACAAAATTGTGTTAGTCAAAGGAAAGCTGGATTGAAAAAATATAATTATAAGTTCAAAGTTTGAAGATATGCTTTTTTCTTCCATATCCTCAATCTCAAGGAGCCACATACAAGACTTTGCTTGTGACATGCCCAATAAAAGAAGTTACCTTGATATGGAAAAAAAGAAAAAGCTGTAGAGTTTAAGATAGTCTAATTCACTCTAAAAATGAAAAAATGATTATGGAAATATTCTTTTACTATGCAAATAGCAGAAACAACAAAGGAATACTAAATGTTCTTCCTTGTACCTGCAAAACTTTAATAATAAAACAGCACAACTGACAACCTTTTACCAATTTCCTTGTGAATTCCAACTGTTATGCCATGCTAATGCATAATAATAATTGAAGGTGATTTCTAATCTAACTCAAAATTTTTTAAAARTGCCATTTCATAGTCTATTTTTTAAAAAACGATTTAAAAAAGTAATAAGGCAAGACAATTCTTTAAATCCTTGAGATTCAATTGTTTAAATTTAAAAATAGAAAAAAGAGCATAATTTCCTTCCTTCCTCTTTTTGTTGTAGTTGTGTTGAATGTCCTCTACCATATATCCCCAGACCAAGAGCTTTATTTATTTATTTATTCTAATTTATTATATATGATAGAATGCATTACAATTCATATTACACATATAGAGCACAATTTTTCATATYTCTGGTTGTATATGAAATATATTCACACCATTCATGTCTTCATACATGTACTTAAGGCAATGAAGTCCATCACATTCCACCACCTTTTTTACCCTCCCTTCCCCTCCCACCCCTTTGCCCTATCTAGAGTTCCTCTATTCCACCCATGCTCCCTCTCCCAACCCCACTATGAATCAGCCTCCTTATATCAGAGAAAAAAATTGGCATTTGTTTTTTTGGGATTGGTTAACTTCACTTAGCATTATATTCTCCAACTCCATCCATTTACCTGCAAATGCCATGATTTTATTCTCTTTTATTGCTGAGTAATATTCCAGTGTGTATATATGCCACATTTTCTTTATCCATTCATCTATTGAAGGACATAGAGGTTGGTTCCACAGTTTAGCTATTGTGAATTGTGCTGCTATAAACATTGATGTGGCTGTGTCCCAGTAGTATGCTGTTTTTAAATCTTTTGGGTATAGACTGAGGAGTGGGATAGCTGGGTCAAATGGTGGTTCCATTCCCAGCTTTCCAAGGAATCTCCATACTGCTTCCATATTGGCTGCACTAATTCCAATAAATAGGAGAATAACAATTTTGTGAATGTGTGCTGGGGATAGAACACAGGGCCTCACACACAAGGTCACTAATCTATATACCCATCCACAAAGGATAATAATTTTAAACCACCATATAAAAATAAATAAATAGATAGATAAATATATACCTTAGAAGAATCTTCAATGGCCTTGTGTAAGTTTTTTAGTTTTAGGTGGCAAGCAGCCCGATTCAAATATAATAGAGGAATCTTGTTATTCAGTCTTATGGCTAAATTGTATGCATTAATAGCTGCCAAATAGTCCTCTGTTGCAAACAATTTGCTAATAAAACAAAAATGGAAAAGAAAGACAAAATAACATTGAAACAGAAACAGAGAAGTAATATCAATTATATTTGGCAGAGGGGATGGCTTATCTCCTTTTTTATTCCCTGCAGGATGGACATTGTTGATTACACTAACTATTTCTCCACACACACAGCATCCAACCTGAAAAGGAGGGGTTTCACCTCCCTCCCCAAAAATAGTCAACAATAGGTTAAGCCAGTAAGCAAATTTTCATCCTTCTTGCTATAATGATTGATTCAAGGATGGGCTTGTGACTTAAGTTGGTATATTCTGAATGAAGCTGTGATTTTGTTTTCAAAGTTGGAGAAAAGTTGAGAAAACTCCCCATGCTCGACGTGCATGAGGAGACCTAGATTGTTGCTGTTCATTTTTTTTTTTTTTTTTTCAGTACTGGGGATCAAACCCAGGGTCTCATGCATGCTAGACAAGTATCCTGCCACTAAGCCACAGCCCTACTGTTCATTTTTAACACACTAGGAAAAACTACATTTAGAATAAAGCTGATATAATGGAAATATAAAAAGAATTAAAATGCAGAAAGAAACTCCGTCTTTTGTGATACAGGTAAGTGGTTAGATCAAGCTTTACCTGAAATGCGAAATGCATTTATTATTTTGCTTATAAAAGCAAATGCATTCCTTTAAATAAAAAGCCAGTATTATAGTCAGGCCTGGTAGTTCACTCCTGCAATCCTAGCTACTGAGGAGGCTGAGGCAGGAGGATTGAAAGTTCAAGGCCAGGGCTGAGGTTCTGGCTCAGCAGCATAGTGCTTGCCTAGCACGTGTAAGGCCCTGAGTTCAATCCTCAGCACCACATAAAAATAAGTAAATAAAGGTACTGTGTCCCACTATAATAAATAAATATTTTAAAAAAAGAAAGAAAAAGAAAAAGAAAGTTCAAGGCCAGCCTCAATAACTTAGGGAGACTCTGCCTTAAAAAAAAATACATTTTTTTTTAATGATGGGAGATACAGGTCAGAGCACTTGCCTAAAGTGTGCAAGGTCCTGGGTCTAAACTACAGTACAAAAAAGAAAAAAAGCCAGTATCAGTGTGTCTTATGAAAGTACATCAACCAATACAACTTAGCACTCAGAACAGAACAAGGACAGGCATGATGCATACTAAATAAAATGACAAGTTAGGCCATACTAGGTACTGTACTTATAGAGTTTCCCAGAGAAAAAGAATTAAAAGGACATATACAGTTATGTACCACATAACAATGTTTCAGTCAATAATGGACTACACATAAAATGGTTGTTTCTTAAGATTATTATCACCTAGTGATGTCATACCCATCTGAGTTTGTGTAAGAATACTCCATGATGTTCACATAATGACAAAATCATCTAATGACATATTTCTCAGAACATATCCTGGTCATTAACCAATTCATGACTTATAGATGTATAGAAAAAAATTCATTATGAGGGATTGGCTCATACAGTTATGGAGGCTGAGAAGTCCCAAGACCTGGCACCTGCAAACTGGACACCAAAGAAAACTAGTGGTGTAGTTCTAATCAAAGCTCAAAGCCTGAGACCTAAGGGAGCCAATGGTATAAACCCTGGGTGTGAAGGCCTGAGAACAACTGTGCTGATGGCCAAGAGCAAAAGATGGGTGTCCTAGCACAAAAAGAATAAATTTGTCCTTCCTCTGACTTCTATAATGTCTCATTGCAAGGCAAGATTTGTCAGCTTTGCTTGTAATACTCTTATGAAAAAAAATTGTTTTCCTTAAGATTAGCCTTCCTCAGCTTTGGTGCAAAACCTCTTTGTATACAGCACCACCTGGGCTCACCTCTGCATTGACTTGATGGGCAAAGGGAGTAGCCAACATGAAGCTCTTGCTACTTGCTGTGTCTTGCATAATAATATCCATTGTCTCTGGCCTCCATGAGACTCCTGTGTTGTTGTTGGTATGTGTGTGTGTGTGTGTGTGTGTGTGTGTGTGTTTCATTTTTTATTTTTTGTTTGCAGTATTGGGGTTTAAATCCAATGGCACTCTACCACTGAACTACATCCCCATCCTTTTATTTATTTATTTATTTATTGGTACTAGGAATTTAATCCAGGGGTGCTTAACCACTGTGCCACAACCACAACCCTTTTTATATTTTATTTTGACAAAGGGTCTCACCAGATTGCTCAGGACCTCACTAAATGGCTGAGGCTGGCTTTGAACTCATTATTCTCCTGCCTCAGCCTCCCTAGCTACTGGGATTACAGGCATGTGCCACCACACCCGGCCTTTTTGATTATTTATTTCGACATAGGGTCTCACTAGTTTTGTCTAAGCTGGCTTGGAACTTGCAATTCTCCTGCCTCAGCCTCCTGCGTCACTGAAATTACAGGAATATGCCACATCCAGCTCAATCTCTTGTGTTCAAGAGTGTGGTGGGCTAATCCCTCATAGTTCTTGTAGAGGCATAGACCCAAACTAAAGTATTGGAAGAAATTCAATTTGGAAAGTATAAACTGTGTACTATATTGGGAGAAAATAGTAACAGGTGGTTAAGAATCTGCATGAAAAACCAGGAGGCTGAAGCAGAAGGATCACAAGTTTGAAGCAAGCTTCAGCAATTTAGCAACCTGTTTCAAAATTAAAATTAAATTTAAAACATTTTTAAATTAAAGGGGTTGAGGATGTTGCTCACTGGTACAGCACTTGCCTAGCATGTTCAAGGATTTAGATTTAGTTCCCAATAATGCAAGAAAAAAAAAGTCCAATGTAAAGTAAAGGAACATCCAACAAGCAGATGGAATCCAGCTGCAGAAAATTCAGAAACCGCAAAAGCAAAAAGTCTGACTAGCATAAGTTGGCACTAGAAGCAAGGAGCAGTTTCCCACATACTAAACTGGGATTTGGAATCATAATTACCCTGGGTGGCAAGAGGAAAAGCAAAAGCAAAGCACAGCCTCAATTTTAAAATGACTGGGTTTTTAGGTAGGCTACAAAACCTGACACTTAGAGAAAATTAAAAAAAAAAAATTTAGACACTAGAGTTTGGGTAGAAGGTAAATTTACATAACAACAATAATAAGATGCTAGATGCTAGACTGTAGAGTTATATATCCTAATATCCTCTAATCTTATGTTAGAATTTGAGAGTGTAAGGTATGCAGATGGGATTCGAGTGACCCTAATATGGGGAAAGAAGAGATTTTAAGTATATAGCACAAAAAAACTCATGCTAAATATCAAGCACAAAGTAATGTCAAAGGGATAAAACAATGGTTCAGCTCTCTCATATGACACAGGTATCTGGAAAAGTAGTTATTAAAGTTATTTACCAATTCTGAGCCATATATACCTATTAAATAACATCATACCATGTATATACTTATATTAGAACRCATAGACTATTTTATGTGAGATGTTCTCAATAAAGTTACTCGGGCCAGGTGTGGTGGCATATACCTGTAATCGTATCTACTCAGGAGGCTGAAGCAGGAGAATTGCAAGTTCATGGCAAGGCTGAATTCAGCAAGACCTGTCTCAATATTTTAAAAATTTAGCTGGGCGAGGTGGTGTACACTTGTAAAAATCCCAGCAACTTGGGATGCTGAGGCAGGAGGATCATGAGTTCAAAGCCAGCCTCAGCAACTTATCAAGGCCCTAAGCAACTCAGTGAGACCCTGTCTCTAAATAAAATACAAAAAAGGGCTGGGGATGTGGCTCAGTGGTTGAGCACCCCTAGGTTTAATCCCTGGTACTATAAAAAAAAAAAAAATTTTTTTTTAAATTTAGCAGGACATAGTGATCCAAGCCTGTAATCCCAGCAACTTGGGAGGCTAAAAAATAAATGTTGAAATTCTCTCTCTTTTTTTTTTTTTAAAGATTAATTTTTTTTAAAGAGAGAGTGAGAGAGGAGAGAGAGAGATAGAGAGAATTTTTAATATTTATTTTTTAGTTCTCGGCGGACACAACATCTTTGTTGGTATGTGGTGCTGAGGATCGAACCCGGGCTGCACGCATGCCGGGCGAGCGTGCTACCGCTTGAGCCACATCCCCAGCCCCTCTCTCTCTCTCTTTTTTTTTTTTTTATTTTTTTATTTTTTTTATTTTTTATTTTTTTTATTGTTGGTCGTTCAAAACATTACATAGTTCTTAATACATCATATTTCACAGTTTGATTCAAGTGGGTTATGAACTCCCAATTTTACCCAGTATATAGATTGCTCTCTCTTAAAAAAAAAAAAAAAGATGTGGTGTCTGCCGAGAACTAAAAAATAAATATTAAAAAATTCTCTCTCTCTTTCACTTTCTCTTTAAAAAAAAAAAAATTAGCAAGGCCCTCAGCAACTCAGTGAAATCCTGTCTCAAAAAAATAAAAAAGTCTGAGTATATACTCAGTGGTAAAGTGCCCCTCTCTCCAGTGCAAATAATAATAATAATAAAATTTAAAAAGGGCTGGGCATGTAGCTCAGTGCTAGAGCACTTTCCAAGCATGCATGAGACACTGGTTTCAATCCTCAGTACCACAAAGAGAAAGAAAAAAAAAAAAAAAGGGAGCTATCCACAATGCTATTTGGAAAGGTAAATACTTTCATGAGCAAATAAAATCACCTGATTTATATATATATTTTTATTTTTTTTTAAAGGTAGCTCTGGTGTTTAAGACACAGCAGTAGAAGGCTAGGTAAAGAAAGATGAAAACATTCTGTTTTGGGGCTGGAGATGTGGCTCAGCGGTAGTGCGCCCATGCCTGGCATGCGTGCGGCCCGGGTTCGATCCTCAGCACCACATACCAACAAAGATGTTGTGTCTGCCGAGAACTAAAAAATAAATATTAAAAATTCTCTCTCTCTCCTCTCTCACTCTCTCTTAAAAAAAAAAAAGAAAAGAAAACATTCTGTTTTTTTCTAAGAATGCTTTCACGTGTTGTGGGACAGGTACTGGGAATTGAACACAGGTGCCTCACATACTTGCTAGGGAAGCACTCTACCACTGAGCTATATATCCCCAGCATAT